ATCTTGTTCAGGTCATTGGGGAAGGAGCCATGGTGTGCCACGATTTATCAGAATAAGATTCCATTTAAGAAATTTGTCTCTCTTTTTTATTTCTCATGATCTGAAGGTAATCTGYATGTAGAAAAATGCGATCAACACAAATTAAGGGAAGAGAAGATTCTTAACCATGGTAGCTCTAAATTTTTTTCAGATAGTTGAACACTAGTTGGTTGTTCAACAAGTATTTATTAAGTTCCCAATACTTTGCAGAAGTTGGAGACACAGCCCATTTATTTCTCTAACTTTGTAGTGACTTCACTCTAAATATGGGGAAGATATTGAGAATGAGATGTGACTTCCTTATGTAGCCTCCCATGGCTCCTTTGTCTGGGTTGGGTGTTCCTCTTTTGGGTCCCATCTTCTCCCACAGTATTAAATCAACATTATTTATCAGTTGTCCATTTCACCCATGAAATTAAAAGTTTCATGAGGGTAGGCACCCAMACCCAGCTCATGGCTGCATGTGGCTGTTAAAGTTGATGCTCAATAAATATTGCCTACAGGGATGGCTGGTAGAGATGGCTGGCAGGATCTATAACAGCARCAAAAGGCAGAGGAGAAGTATTTTTTACATGGACTTCCTGGACAGCATATTAGAAGTCAGAAAACCTTGGCATTTTTCATGGAAGAAATAATAGGTTAAAAAGCAGGCTTTTGAACTTGATTAAAATCCTGATTTCATGTAAACTTAAGTCTTCTAACCTCTCTCTGGTTCAATTTCCTTAKTAGTAAAATGGAAATGAACTTATAAGGCTATTGTGAGGAATAAATGAGATAGACATAAATCACCCACCATATGACTTTTCTGGAAAAAATGCTCAGTAAATTGTATTACTTGACCAAAATRCATAAACTATTGATTATTAGCAGCAAAGATAAGATACATTTAAAAAAGTGATTCTGAATTTGTAGACTTTATAGGTGGTGTAGAATATAATGCTCTTTAGTGAATTCTCAAGTTTAATCTGCCAGATATGTAATAGATTAATTTTTTCATTTCAATRCAATATGCGATTTGCTCATTTAATGGATATGTATTGAGTACCTACTAGGTATAAAGCACTGTGTACACCCTGGGAGACTAAGTAGTAAAAGAAGATGACTGATAAGGATTTTTAAACATAACAGAATTATTTAGAATTTCTTTTTCTGGAAAACTCTTCAGATGCACTGTGTACCATGACCTCTTCCAAAACTTAGCCTCTGTTAAAATTACAATGAATTGCAGTATCTTTATCATTTAATTCCCATCACAAYACAATGAAGATGGCTCTTTTTGTTCTGAGATAAAGAGAACAGCTCTTGAATACTTCTCTCAGGAACTGGATATAAAACAAATAGCTCAAACTATAGAAAAGACCTTTTTTTTGCATTTCTCAGCTCCTTAGCCATGACCTCATAAAATTTTTAAGAAATATGGGAAGGAAGAAAGTGAAACTAATTTAAAAAGCAAASCATATGTAGAATCACACCACAGAGCTGGAAATACCTGAGTTAACAGCTGGCCCAGTTTCCTTCTACAACATATGAAGAGAACTGGATTAAGAGAGGAGCAGACTCCACCAAGGCTGGTGACAGCTGTGTCCTTCCCACTCAGAAACCTTAGGAGGGAAGAAATGTACAATGAAGCAGATAAGTACCTGTGGAAGGATTGGAATTTACACAGGTCTATTGAGGTGTTAAAAAAATTTAACTTTATGTTTAATAATCCGGCTAGGCACAGTGGTACCCACCTGTAATCCCAGCAATTTTGGAAGCTAATGTAGGAGGATCAAAAATTCCAGGCTAGCCTCAGCAAATTAGTGAGATCCTATCTCAAAATAAAAAACCAAAAGGGCTGGGGATGTAGCTCAGTGGTAGAATGCCCCTAARTTCAATCCTGAAAGAAAGGAAGGARAAAGGAGGGGAGGAGGGAAGGAAAGAATATAGGAGGGAAGGAAGTAAGGGGGAAGAGGGAAAAGAAAGAAAATTCTCAACCAAGCCTGGCCTTCAAATCTAGGTTTTTTTTATTGACTTAACAAATGTGGTTTGAAACCCAACATTGAGTAAGAATGTTTTCTGGTGTTGAGTTCCATAGAAGGAGAGACTGAAGTGGAGGTTCTCTTACAAATCATGAGATTTGGGGTAGGAGGGCAGGAAAAGGGTGGGAGGAAAATGGTCCCCAAGATGCCCTCTCATCTGAAGTCTGGCTTTGCCAGATTCTAGCAGGAAGCTRTGAATTGTAGGGGAGCAAGTTCAACCAGGGAAGCTGGTTGACCTTTTGTATTTCTGAATTGACAACCCTTGGGAACGGGTGGCTGTTGCACAATTTCTTTGGCAAGATGGATGTGTTTGGCCAAGGGCTATTTTCTGGAGAAGGGAGAGCCAGGAACCCACAGAGCACCATGAAGGAATCTGGCACAGGCCCTTCGAATGTGTTTGTCTTTCTTTCTTTCTTTTTCTTTTTTGGTATCAGGGATCGAACCCAGGAGTGCTTAACCACTGAGCCACATCTCCAGCCCTTTTTATTTTTTATTTTGAGACRGGGTCTTGCTAAGTTGCTTAGGACCTCCCTAAATTGCTCAGACTGGCTTTGAACTCGAGATCCTCCTGCCTCAGCCTCCAGGGCAGCTGGGATTACAGGCATGCTCCACCATGCCTGTCTTTGTCTTAAAAACCATTTTTAGAGTAGAGCAAGCAGATTGGGGGAGGGAGGAGAGGAGGGAAAGGGAAAGCACTGTGGAATGAGATTGGTCAAATTATGTATGTGTACAAATATGGCATAATGAATCCCACAATTATGTATAATTATAATGCACCAATTAAAATAATTWAAAAAAAACTTCTTAACACTTGTTCCYAATCAGCCATATCAGCATTGTCTGGGAACTTAGGAGAAATGCAAATTCTTGGGCCCTACCCAAAAACTACTGAATCAGAAACTCTGGGAGTGGGGCCAAACAGTTATGTATTTAATAAGCCTTCCAGGTGTTGCTAATGTGTGCTTAAATTTGAGAATTCTGGCTCTAAATGATACTGCTCTTCTGATTCAGTAAATGGAAACTTCAAAGTAAGGTGCTTTGAGGAAAATGAAAAGTTGGTTGTCAATTCAGAAATACAAAAGACCAACCAGCTGGACTTCCCTTAAGCTGGACTCACTCCCCTACAATTCAAAGTTTCCTGGTGGAATCTRGCAAAGCTTAACTTCAATAAATACTTTTAAATATATATACATACATATATATGTATGTATGTATATTTAATTGCAGATGAACACAATACCTTTATTTTATTTATTTATTTTTATGTGGTGCTGAGGATCAAACCCAGTACCTTACATGTGCTAGGCAAGCGCTGTACCACTGAGCCACAATCATAGCCTTCCATGAATACTTTAATTCTTTAAGTATTATCCATGTATTTATTATCACCAGCAACAATTCACTCCCTGTCCAGTGTTCTGGTTCTGTGACTCAGACATCAAGAAAATTAACAATACCAAAGTAGAACCACTGCATATCAAGTGTACTTGGATAAAAATAATAGACTAGGATATTAATTTTTCAAAGAACTTGAATATATCATATTTAGTCAGGACCTTTAGATCCTTGGTTTTCCTCCTTCTGCCCAGTTAGACAATTCTCTTGGCTTTTGTAACCAAGGCCCATTCCTCTGAATCTTTTCACTTTCTAGAAATGTGTGACTCACTTGGTTTCTGACCAGAGTCTATTATTCTTCCTAATTTTTTTCTTAACCACTTCACTAATTTCATCCTCAGAGTGACAACTATTCTTTAGAAGTTTCCCAAGAAAATATTGATAGGCCTAGATGTTGCTATATCCAGTTGAGAAAGTATAGAATCACTAACATTAGAAAACTTTCAATTAAGTCATAAATGTCAACACAAAATTCTATAATTTTTTAGTTAATAAACATTCTTTATAATAAGCTACTCCATTTCTCAAAATTCTTTATGCTTTTGTTAAGGGAGACTGAATGATCTTGAATAGAAATCCTTCTAGATCAGAGCAGGAACTGAGAACATATGAAGAAGAATCAGATCTTCGAACTGAAAACAAACTATATTCCTATCTTTCCAATACTCACACATTTTCTAAGCAAACTTTTAAGGGAGGAATCAATACATAATTACATTATTGTTTATTTTTAAAATGATCTCAAACATAATAGCACTCAATGCGTTAATATCCTAAATTCAATAATTTTTAAAAATCAATCTTTAAACTTTCAAAATGTGATTTGGAAAGACAGAATTTCCATCTAACGTTCTTTTGGAAATCTAGGCTACAATTAAAAGGTGTAACAAGTCCTGAGAATATTGATTTCAAAAGGTTCTAAGATGTCTTAGAGGAGAGGAGAAGTTAGATTCTTTAAACTTTGAAATGTCAATAGTACCTTCAAATTTTTTGGAAGAGAAAAGTCCATTTTTATTTATGAAGATTACTGGGAAATGTATAAGAAAATAGATGTTACAACTGGAAATATAAGCTCAGTTTTAATGCTTTGTTTAAAGCATCCATGATTCGTACTGCCCTTCATGTTTCTTCTTCATATTAAATGTAAATGATTTCAATAAAATACACTTATAATGAAGTCTTTATGTATTCTAATCAGTTTGTGAACTTAAAATTTAAAAGCTTTTATTCATCATTATTAACCACATATCAAAATGGCTTTGGTTTCATCTGAATTTTTGCCATAGTAACTTTTTAAAAATGTACATCTTAATATTATGTTTTCTTCATTCTATTATCGCACTCATATATCATTTTGAACAAAAACCTTTGGATTGGTCCTCAATAGTAAGTGCAATTTCTTAATTGATTAATAAAAGAATTCTCATTAACATGGAGTACTGGGGATCCCCCATATGTTGCTAATTTTAGCCAAATGTAAACTAAAATCTGTTTTCTAATTAGTTATGTATGTGTGCATATTTTGTTTTGTTTTGTTTTTTTAAGAGCTCAACTGCTGGGTTATGATGTGGCTCTGAACTTGACCCGCTATCTCAAAATGGAAGAGAACTTTTTACCATGGCAGAGAGCCATTTCAGCTGTAACTTACATCATTAGCATGTTTGAAGATGATAAAGAGCTATACCCCATGATAGAGGTGATGTTGCTGCTATAATAAAAATATAAACGTTTAGTCATTAGTAAAATAGGATGGTTTCTGAGGGAAGAAGCTCCTAGGGGACATATCATCACTACCTCACAAGTGAAAACAAAGTGCAATCTTAAGGAGATGCTATCTATTCTTTTTCAATTTGAAGCATATCAGTATGTGTAGTTTTGTATATTGCATAAGGTATATATTTGAGTATTAGAAGAAATACAGTAATAAATATTTTATTTAAAATTTATAATATTTTAAACTCTAAATACTAACTGGATCTTACCTTAAATGGATTTATCTCTGTTAAAATGAATATTCTTCCCCAAATATAATATTTCCTTATTCTTGAGGCTGTTATTTCCACATCAGGATTTTGTTGTAAAATAGTTATTCCAAATTGCTTTGTTACGTCTGTGGCACTTTGGTAGTTCACTTGTAATTTTAAACAAAATCTGGATTTGAATTTCTAGCTCTTTCACTTACTAAATGAAAGACGTTGGGCAATTAATTTAATATTTGTAAATCTTAGCTTCCTTTTGAACAATAGGAACATCAACACTCATCTGCCTTTGGGAGGATCAAATTATATGGAAGTTCTCTGTAAATCCTAAATATCAGTTATTTTTATTATTTCATCAATATTTGAACAACTTTCTTAATGCTAGAACTGTGTCAGGTGTTTTCWACTTATTTCATATATTAACTAAGAAATGGAGATTAAAAAGGAATTACCCAGCAAGGTGTAGTAGTGCATACCTGTAATACCAGCAACTTGGGAGTCTGAGGCAGGAGGATCACAAGTTTGAGGTCATCTGGGCAACTTAGCAAGACTCTGTCTCAAAATAAAAAAAATAAAAAAGAGCTGGAGAAGTAGCTCAATTGTAAATGACCCCTGGGTTAAATTTCCAGTACCAAACAAAAGAAAACACCTGGGCATGGTGGCACACACCTGTAATCATAGTAACTTGGGAGGCTAAGGCAAAAGGGTCACAAGTTCAAGACTGACCTAAGCAATTTAGTGAGGCTTTAAGCAACTTAGCAAGAACCTGTCTTAAAACAAAAAAATAAAAAGCACTGGAGATGTTGCTCAGTGTTCAAGCACCTCTGGGTTCAATTCCTCGTCAAAAAAAAAAAAAAAAAAAAAAAAAGGCTTACCCAAAGTTTTGTAAAACATTAGAGAAAGATATCCAAGGTGGTTTATGTCCCCATGATTGAAGCAAAATTGTAATGTGATAAAAAAAAAAACTGAACACATTCCTTTCTTAAAGTCAGGCCCAGAGTTTTCAAAACTAATAGGAAAATTCTTACAACAGGGGACTGCAGATTACAATAAATGGGAGACTGTTGATAGGTAGCAAATTATTACTCATGGTAATAACCTGATGTTTTTATTTCAGAAATACTTCCAAGATCAAGTGAAGCCCATTGCAGATTCTCTGGGATGGGATGATACTGGCGACCACCTTACAAAGTAATTTTTCACCTTTTAAAAATTAATCTTCATTTAGTATTTATTTGTGTGTTTTAAGGCATGTTGAGAAGTGCTTAAACCCTGGCTTTGTGTTTGCCTGTTTTCTAAGGTTACTCCGTGCCTCTGTGTTAGGGTTTGCCTGCAAGATGGGAGACCCAAAGGCCTTGAATAATGCTTCCCAGTTATTTGAGAACTGGATAAGGACAGGCAAGAGGTGACTATTCACCTTGTTTTTATTTCTAGAAGACTTTAAACTGAGAAATGAGCCGCTGACATCTCTGAAACCTTGCTTCCTTGTCTAGCATTCCTGTMAATCTCCGGCTTTTGGGTTATCGGTATGGAATGCAGAACTCTGGAAATGAAGCTTCATGGAACTATACTCTAGARCAATACCAGAAAACTTCATTAGCTCAAGAAAAAGAAAAACTGCTCTATGGATTAGCATCAGTGAAAAATGTTACTCTTTTGGCAAGGTAGTGTCTTTTTTTTTTTTTTTTTAATTTTTTTAGGGTTTTGGTGTTTGTGGTTCTAAGAATCAAACCCAGGACCTCACACATTCTGGGAAAGTGCTCAACCACTGAGAAAAACCCCTAGTCCAAGTTGGGATTTCATTTCATTTATATTAATGGTGTTTAGTAGTTTATATGTCACAGTCTCTTAAGACTCTGATTAAGAAAGTATTATGTCTTTTTCCCCAAAAAAATCCATTAAAAAATATTTTTTCATGTAAGAAAGAAAATATCCATCTTGTGATTGAGCAAAAGAATAAAAAAATGTAGTCTCATATGAAAATGTTCTGGAGGTAGGTTTCCTGTTGGGTGCAGTGATATTTTTATCCAGAACCCAGGCTCCTGTTCTGCCATGCTCAAGGTGTGGGATGTCTTGTGACTTCCAAAGCTCCAAACATGTTGTCATAACACAAAGATGCTCAATAGAGGATGAAAGGTGTGAAAGAACATATCTTCACAAGGTTCTGTCTTTATAATTAGAGGACAGTTGTGTTTACCTTCCCTTATGATCCAGAACAGACTGAGATGCAATCAATGTGGGTCACACTCCCTGTCTACCATTTGCTCATTTGCTGAATAGGATGGACTTGAATTGATTTGGGCCAATCATAAATCTTTGGGGTTATGGTAACGATCTGCATTCCCTAGGAACCAAATATATCTAAAGATTCCCAAACTAGGCTCTGTCATCAGAGAAAGAGGAGTTCTGCCACAGTGTGTACCCACGTGTGTATATACCCATGCATGAACACACACACACACACACACACACACACACACACACACACATTTACATTATTACATTATACCCAGAAGGTACAAAGACTGCTTGAAGCCCATCTATGAATCTTTTCTCACTCTTCCCCTGTGCCCCAAATTGACTGGCTTGTGCCTTAGTTCATTTTTTTTTTCTCATTTGTGGTATGAGTTACTTATCATTSATTTTACCACCACTTGTAGTGCCCCTTCTATGTAGGTCTAGACATATAGATTATGGAAATAAAAATAAATAAAACATAATATCTATCCTTGAGCAACTTACAGCTTCTCGGGAGAGGCAGAATGTAAACAGTAAACTACAGAACAATACAGTTTGAAAGGACTACAAGAGAGGTTTGCTTTTGCCTAGCAGGGCCAGCAATATGCCTCCATTACCTTAAATATGTGCCAATTCTCCAACTTTCTGTTATAAGATAGCCCATTAGGAACCTGGTCATTTTAACATCACAGGTACCCCATTAATATGTATAATTTTGTGTTTTTAATGTATCAGTTAAAATAAATTTAGATTTAAAAAGAATTTGATCATTCTAACATCCCTCAAAACATTATACTTATCATGACTTCCATAGCATTGTGCTGATTATATCTACTAAGAATATATTAGAAAGCACTTTAGATGCTTTAGTGAGACTCTTGTGGGCCAAGTGGTAAAGGATAAATTGTGCAAAACTTTAGGAGCCCAGCACTTCAGTGCAGTTCCAGGAAGTTCAATGGTTTCATGCATGTTGAGATATTCCCTCTAAGGTAAAAGACAAGTTACCACACCTTGTACTACCTTAAAAAAAATCATTTTAGTGGACTGCTTTTATTTTATTTTTAAAGTGGTGCTGGGGATCAAATCCTGGGCCTTGTGCATGCTGGGCAAGTTCTCTATATCACTGAGCTACAATGCCAGCCCAGTAAACTTTATTTTTTTTAATTGAGGCAATGGGGGGCAGGGGGAGTGAAGGGGTAGGGGAGAGGCTAGGGTTGTGGCTCAGTGGTAGAGCGCTGCCCAGCATGCATGAGGCACTGGTATCAATCCTTAGCACCACATAAAAATGAAATAGATATTGTGTGTCCACCTACAACTAAAAACTAAATATAAAAAAAATCAAGGCAATTGTCCTACATTTGAGTGTGTCACTTCAACCATCTACAAAGTCTTTCAGTTTTTAACGATGACAGAACAAAAGAAGGCTCTCTGAAAAATCCAGGCTATAGTAAAAGCTTTCCTAGAATTCCTTTCTTATCTGACACATATGATAAATATGTTGTATTTCATGAGTACAAGTTTACCTCCTGCAAGTACAAAAAAGGGTAGTATCTTTATTTGCTCTCTGATTATTTCCAAAAGTTTGCATGCTGTTGAGTGATGAGCCAGTAAGATGGGGAACAGCTGATACTAACTTTGTCTGCCAGTCTAGTTTTTAAATCAGTTGTTAAGCTACAATTCTAATTTAAATGGTCTCTTGGAACAAATGTCCAGTCTTCTCAAATTCCTTTTCTTCCACATGTTCCTCCTATACAGGGAGGCATAAGTCATCTTGTTGTGATGGAGAAAGAGAATTCTAGTCCTTCCTGGTTTTACCCTAAGGTGTTGACCTATTTTGGTCATGGACCAGAGTCCGCTGGGTTTTTATAGATCATGTTTTACCTGCTTGGAACACTGTACATTTTCCAGACACTAAAGCTGTGTTCCTGGTCATTTTCTTCTATTCATGAAGTACCTGTGCTGTGTGACCTTTTTGTTTTCCCAGCAGCCCTTTGGGCAATCCTATATCTTATTATTAGACTGAAGAATCTCCCAGGTTCCCCTATACAGTTCACAAGTTAAGGGAACCAGGAGCATCACCTTACACCCATTAACATGTTCACCTCACTCTGCCTACATGCACTGACAGTCACCTATACCATAATGGACTTAGCACAAAGGTAGGTACTCAACTGCAGGCCCACCCTCAGAGGACTGGAGAGAGTGATGTTGTTCAGTTTCCCAAGTGACATGGACTTCCTTTAAAGCTTGAGTTTTCTCCAATCTCAATTAGGGTACACATCTATGGTCAAGTATGTTGTTTCTTGACATGCTAATAAAAATGAAAGAAATGTAGAATTATCTTTTTTCTTTGACATAGGCTGATTACTGAAACTTTCTCACAACTCAAATTGAACACTCAGCCCTTGGTTTAGCTATTATCTTTTATTTCCCTAAAGATGTGAATGAATCATGCCAATTGGCAAGAGGCCATGGAAACCCAACACTAGAAGAATATGAAAATTATATCAGCAATAGATATCTATTTTTCAGATGTCATCATAGTGAATAAAATATGTGCTGATCTTCTTTGGAAACACTCTTCTAATACCAATATGCCCTTATRTAGAGCCTCAGGGAGAAATACAACTCTAGGTACAACCACTGCATAAATTTAATAAAAGTATCCATTTGGTCATTTATGTTCATGTATTTGCATCATGCTATAACTAGAGCCAAATAATCTAATCAATAGATTACATTTGGAGGTTGTTTCTTATAATCTAGGGAAAAGCAAACAAGTTTTGCATTTTCCTACAGCAAATAAGAGCATAAAACTATTAACCATTTTTTTTAAAGAGCATAAATATTTTATCTTAATTTACTAACTTCTTTTTTTAAATTTAGTGGGGTAACACATAAGTGAATTGTTTATGTTCAACTCCATACGTTTATTTTTTAAGGTTGATCATTAAAATGCTATGTTTTTTTTCTATTTTTAGTATTTCTAAAACAATTTAAATTTTGTGGGGGGAGGCACTAGGAATTGAACCTGGGGTGCTTTACCACTAAGCCATATCCTCAGTTCTTTCTTCTCCCCTCCCCCCTTCTCATCCAGCTCTCACTCAGATGTCTTAGTTGTTGAAGCTGGCCTTGAAYTTACAATCCTCCTCTCTCAACCTCCCTAATTGCTAGAATTACAGGTGTGCACCACTACACCTGGCAATAATTTTTTAATGTTCCTATAGTTCATATTTCTCAAATTCTCAAAATCATGGGCTAATCTTTAAAAACAGTTAAAAATATTGAACCTTTTTAAATTGTGTTTCATCATTTATCATATTTAACTCACTACTGAATTGCAAGAACAGTTATACTGTATTGGCATTTAGCTAACAGTGAACATTTTGAATTGTTTTTGTTTGACTTCTCTTAGGTATTTGGATTTGCTCAAGGACCCAGACCTTATTAAAACTCAGGATGTGTTTACAGTCATTCGATATATCTCCTATAATAGCTATGGGAAGAGCATGGCGTGGAATTGGATACAGCTCAACTGGGAGTACCTAGTCAACAGGTATGATGGTCTGTGTTGTCTTTGTTTGATATTATTTACAAGTTCCTTCCTTTTTCTCTTTGGTGTACTTCTACTGACATCTATACAATATCTGAAAAAACACATCCTCAGAGGTAAAGGAAAATGGTATTTACCTTCCAAGTAAGCAACATACTAATGAATTTTAACCACAATTTTTTTTTTTTTACTGGAAATTATTGTTTCCAAACGATCTATAAGATTCTGAGATCTGGAGAGATGGCTAAATGGTATTATTTTTAGTTTGGGTAATATAATTCTTCTCATTGTGCTASTTGCTAGGATAATGCCAGGCACATATTTAGGTCTCAATATTTGAAACTTAAACGAGAATTCCTGAACCTAGGCTCAATTTAGAACCCTATATCTTATTGAGGTTATATGGGTGATACTGTATGATCTCCTCTGACCAGATAATTACACTTGTATTCTAAATAGTTCCTTAAATAGTTCTGAATAGTTCTTCACTGACATTAGCAGGGTTTTGGGGAGGTGGTGGGAGTGGTGAAGGAAAGTTTGAGGATTTTTTTGTTGTGGGAATTGAATCCAGGGCCTCAGGCTTGRAAATCACACATTCTGTCATTAAGCTACACTCCCAGCCTGATAACAACMGTTCTAAAATGGGACAAGAGAAGGGCAAAGTCAGTGAAAGAGACACTTTTCCAAACTTCTTAAGAATTTCTTTAAGCCCCATGCAGAAGAAATATTGCTATTCTTGGTTCTGATCCTCTAAACGCAATTTTCATGAAAAAAGCATTTTTTTAAAAAAATGTAAAATAAATACATGCCTCAAATAAATGTGTAGCTGGGTGCGATGGCGCATACCTATAATCCTAACATCTTGGGAGGCTGAGGCAGGAGGATCACAAATTCAAAGCCAGCCTCAGCAAAAGCAAGGCACTAAGCAACTCAGTAAGACCCAGTCTCTAAATAAAATACGAAATAGTGGCTCAGTGGTTGAGTRCCCCTGAGTTCAATCCCCAATACTAACAAAACAAAACAAAACAAATAAATGTGTAAAGATTGGTGCACATTTACCACCTGTAGTCCTCACCTTAGGAAACAGCTTCTGTTTTCCCTTCCCACTCTCTCAAGTCATCCAGAGGCACCACCTACTTGGTAATGACTGCCATGTGAGAAATACCAACTACAACAATCCTGCTGTTTCTTTACTCTTTTCTATTCTACTCACTAGTGGCATTGTGGATATTTTATTTCYTTTCCTTCTGAGATCCACATTATATCTCCAGCTCTCAACTAAGGTGTTTCACATTGCTTTTGCCTATTCATGATAAGATTTTTACCTTTTCTATTCTTGTGACTAATGAGTATAATTGTTATCTGTCTCTAAAGATTGGCTGGTGTATGTATGTGCATGTGCATGTGTGTGTTTGTGTTGCTCATGTGCATCGTTCATTTGTTTATAATTTTTTCAATGAAATATTTGGTTTAGAATGAATAAATGTACCTGTTAAGAACATGCTGTTGCCGGGCATGGTTGTGCAGGCCTGTAATCCGAACAGCTGGGGAGGTTTAGGCAGGAGGATCACATGTTCAAAATCAGCTTCAGCAACTTAGTTAGACCTTGTCCCAAAATAAAAAGGGTTGAAGATGTGACTCAGTGGTTAAGCAACCCTGGGTTCAATCCCTGGTACCAAAAAACAAAATAACCAAACAAACAAAAAACCATGTATGTTATAACATATGTTCATATTATRCAAGGTAATCTGTTCATTTTTTCTCCCAAAAATGAAATGCCTAATGACACACACTGTGAATTTTGTTTTAATTGAAATGCTATGAAACTATTTTTATTTTTTCTTTGGTGTATGATATAAGGAACCTATGTAAATAAAACACAGTATTTACTTTTGAATTATTGCGAAAAGACAAGTAAAGAATGTTTTATTTCACAAAATAAAATGGTCATTCCCTTACTATTTATTAAACAGAGTATTTTTCACGGCTTATTTTAATAATTCTAGTGTAACTTATTTCAAATATTGCATTTTTCATTTTTAAAAATTACTTATTTCTTTTTGTAATATTTATTTCTTAGTTATAGGTGGACACAATATCTTTATTTTATTTTTATGTGGTGCTGAGAATCAAACCCAGTACCTCAAGYATGCTACTCGAGGACGCTACCTRCAAGCYACAACCCCAGCCCAGTTCATTATTTCTTAATTAAAAAATTAAGAAATAGAAAAAAATAGGTTTTACCTGCCATAAAGGTCATAAACAYCTAGCCTAAAATAAATGTATTAGACCTAATAAATTGAATTTTTTCCTAGGGAAAATAAATTGCATTTCCAGAACCGTTCTAAAACTCTTGCCCAAGCCTTTGAGTATTTCTTCACAATCTAATGATCTTTCATGAGGCATTATTTTAAATGGCCCCAAACATAAAATTGTATAATAACCACATGTCTGACAGTTACACAAAAAAGCAATATTAATTATGTTTGGTTTGAATAAATAGAATTTCCCCATGCAAAATTATATGACAAATTAAGCAGAAATGAGSCAAATTTTTTTCCAAACTGTGTTTTCAAAATTTTAAGATAAGTCGTTTTACTGCTTCTATTTCTGAACTACTTATTGTCATTCTAAAATAATCTACATTTTAAAATAAAGCTTTTGTTATGTGATTTCTATGACAACTAATGTCCTTGCCAGTTTGAGCCTTGACCACAAAGTCCCAAAGATACTTGGAAATTATTCTTTGTTTCTTCTACTAAACTCTTAGGTGAAATTGTGAAGTTGAAAGAACCCACTAAGTCAGTAGTWTGGTATAATAAAGTCTGTTTTTAGTCTGTGGCAACAGATGAAAAATCAAGTCAATAATTTTGGCTTAAAGAACATGATCAAACATGACCGAAACTAAACACTATCTCATAGACAACATAATTTAATAAGAACTTAATTAAAAGTTCTGTGTGCATCAAAATAATTTCTTATGGGTAACACAGTAATACTTACATAAATATTAAGCCCAAGAAGATAATTTTTATATAATTTTCTAATTATTTACAATATTATTAAATCCTTATTTTAGTTTAAAAAATAACCAATATGATAAATATCCAGCATATTTCCCCTGACTTTCTATTCTTGATATGATATTGGTTTCTTGGGATAAACATATTTGATTCTCTCATTTCTAGATTTACACAGGTACTTGTAATTTTTATTAATCTATTTATTGCTAGCTCTCAAATATTTTCTTTGATTGTTTAGTCACTAAGAACAAAACAGAAAGGTACTATGGAAATTGTAGGTCATCGACAAATTCTTATTACCTGCATTGTAGCAGACTTTAAATCTCATTTCAGGAACTCAGTATGTCTTTCTTCTTAAAATCCCCTCTTATTAGAGAACTGATTTTTTTYYTTTTTTTACAAAAGGCAGATAAGCATTCTTATCTTGTTTATGATGCCTTTTATAGTGCAATATAACCTAGAAATAATTTTGTTGTCACATTACCATTTTTCCTCTAGTCATTTTCTATGGTTATTTATTTATTTTATAGAAATGGAATTATACATGTGACTTTATAATTTGATTTTTTATACATATCACTCTGTCTTGTGGATGTCTCTTCATGTCTTTAGGTTGGTTTTTGAATGTTGTTTTTAAGGACCCAATAGTATTTTAATATATTTTAGTTTACTTAGCCATCTTTTAGACAATGTCATTGTTCCCTGACTACTATAAATAATGTATTGTGAACAATACCTTTGAAACTGAGTTTCATTGTTCTTTTCAAATGTCCCTGRCAATAACTTTGGGATACAGTTAATACTAGAAGTATTACTACTGAGTTAAAGCATGTGTCCATTTCTAGAGTTTTTGATAAATATTGTAGAATCATGATACAGAAAAATTTCACTAACAATTGCCCATTTTTCCAACCCTTCCAATATTCAAGATTGATATTTTTAAGTATTCTTGGTAACTGAATAAATAAGAATTAATATCTCATTTTAAACTATAAATCTTCCATCCAATAAGTCACGTGGAGCACCTACCATGTGCTAAGCATTATGATTGGTGTTGGGGATGGAACATTTAGGAGAAGCAAACCTCATTCTCTGTCCTCATASAGCTTAGAGTTTAGTAACAGACAYCAATAATATGTGAAGAATCATACAAATGCATGTGTACTTAAAATTGTAACAACTACCAATAGAAGTAGTTCAGGGTGTACCRATATAATATAAAGGGGAAAATAGAATATCATCTCTACAATTCTGTTWTGGTACTTAGCTTAACCAGCTTGTTTTTAGATCATGTAGATCTATACTACACTACTAAGAATTTCTCCTGAATAGAATTTTTYTTTACTGTGTTTAACTTACTTTGAAAATTACTTTGAAAACATACAGATCATAACCCGCAAAATGCAAATAGCTATAGACCAAATAGACCAAGTGGAAAGAAGWTGGAAGAAAGGGCTTCCCTAAGGACATGATGGTTGAGCCAGAGGAAGTGCAGGAGTGAATTAGGCAGATAGGAAGTGAAGCATTTCTGGATGAAGACCTGTTAGGAGAGAGAAAGTAAAGACCAAGACTTGCAGAGTCATGTAAAAAGTTGGACTTGTGTCCTAAGCAATGATGAGTCACTGAAGGTTTTTAAGTAAGAAAGTGAAATGATGAATTTTACTTTGAAAAGAAGCTCTGGTGGTAAGATGAAGGGTAGACCTAGATGGGGGCCAGAGTGGGATTTGGGAAAAGCCRTTAGCTGCTGTGATAGTCCCAGCAAAAGCCAGTGACAGATTGGACTATGGATGTAATGGTAACAATGAAGAGACAACAATAACATTTAGAGCCTGGTGGTAGATTGGAAATGGAAGATGAAAGTGAGGGGACAAGAGTAATGCCTAGATATGAAAAGAAAAGTGTATTTGTATGTTTCTCTGTGAAGCGGAGGCAAGGATATCTTTAGGAGGGAAGAAGCAGTTTCAGAGGTTGGGAGAGTAAAAAATCTTTGAAAAAGGTAATGCAGAAAGGAAGTGAATGAGTTGGCTAGGGTAATATAGGAGCATCATCAGTGTGAGAGTCCATTTAAGTTAAGTTTGAATTCATGAATTTATAATGAAACAATATAGGGAAAGTTCARTGACTTTCCTTGACAGAACTTGACCACCTGATAGAAGCACAGAGAAAATGGGTAGTTGATTTCACCTGAAGTTAGAGTTTTTCCAGACATAAGTTATTAAAGTACACGGGAGTTGAGGGCATACAGCAAAAATGTTATTGGAAGTGGTAGATAATGTTACCTGAACTACCTAAAGAAATAAGTTGAAAATAAGGAAGATCTAATGGTCCAGGAGAAAGTAGGGGTGGAGATAGCCAAGGGGGCAGAAATCCAAGAATGGTCATAGTAGAAACTAAAAGGTAGATTTTGTCATGGAAGGTACATAAATTAAGAACTTCAGGTGCAAATTACTTATGGATGATCACRAGGTATCATGGGAATTTGTTGATTGAAATAGAGTGGAGAATATATCATTGGAAATAAGGTCAAGAAACTAAGGAGCTAACAAGGTAAAATCACCTCATGATGGGATAGCCTGGAGGAGCCAGGTGCCAAAGGGTAKTGTATTTGAGAGGAAGTAACCAGAGAGAAGTCTTTCAAGGGAGTGAAGGAATAATGGTCTAGGAGCAGCAATGGGGAGCATGAGCACTCCATTCTCCCGAGCTGTTACAACAAAGAAAGGGGGAAAATAAGCAGGATCTCCCTGACAAATAGTGTTTCCAGCAAAGGGACAGTTCCACATGGTTCCAGAAGGCTAGGCAGAAGGTTCAAGAGACACAGGCACATTTTGGATCATGAATGACGACATTAGGAATGAAATGTGTGATGGAATTAAATTCAGTGGTGTCTATGGTAAATAAGAGTGCACACTGGCCCTACCGTACAAAAGATCGTGATTGAATACTAGACTATTTCAACTTTTTCCCAGGGGCAACTTTTCATTCCTTTGCAAATATCACATTACCGTATTTCACCATCTTACACTTTCTAAGTTTCTTTATATGATTAAAATATTTGTTCTATATCGTATCTGTTACATGATTTTTCCCTAGTTCATTTTTGACTTTTAAATTTGTTCATGGCAGATTCTTTTTTAAGTTTGTGTAAAACAAACTTTACCAGTTTTTGTCTTCATAGATTTTGCTTTTGCTAGGTGATAATTTTTAAAGATTAAAATTTCTCCTACTATTTTGTATGTTGCTAAATCTTCCTGTATCCTTCCCAACATTCCAGTGCTCCAGCTTTATACAGAATTTTGTGGTTGTTTTCCTTGCACTGTAACTAATGGTGATATCCGTACCTGTGTCATACCTATTTATATGATGGTCTGTAAGAAAATTTCTGCATCTTGCTCTTAACCAGAGACTATGCAAAAATGACAGGAATAGAATATCATATCTACAATTCTGTTTTGGTACTTAGCTTAACCAGCTTGTTATAAATCATATAGATCTATAGTACATTACTAAGAATTTCTCCTGAATAGAATTATTTTTACTTTAATTTTGCTTACTGTGTTTAACTTACTTTGAAAATTACTTTGAAAACATATAGCTCATAACCCCCAAAATGCAGATAGCTACTAAAGCTTCTGCTTTCCAAAAGCAGAGTTAATAGCCTATGTTCAAAGTTCTGCTCCCTCAAGAAGATGCATGAAGTAGCTGAGTTTCTGCTTTATTGATAAGAACTGGGCCCAGTGTCTACACCTAGCTGCAAGGAAGACTGAGAAATGTGGTCATTAGCTGAGTGCTTCTGTGTGCAGGAAAAAAAGTATCTAATTGGAGAATAGAGCAAACAGTCCACCATATCTAAGGAAGTGGTATGAATCTGTCTACAAAGAAACAAAACAAAACAATAACAACAACAAAAGCCCACAGAAGTTACTAAGCATTTCTCCTGAATAGAACTATTTTCAGTTAAATGTGTTTTCTTACTGTGTTTAACTTACTTTGAAAATTACTTTAAAAAAACACAAAAAATAAAAAAGAAATCTTTATTTCTAGAAAAAGATTGAAAGCTCAGGCACTTATACTCCCTTTTATTCCTCTACTTTTCTCTTCAGATTTACACTCAATGACAGAAACCTTGGCCGGATTGTCACTATAGCAGAGCCATTCAACACTGAAGTACAACTCTGGCAGGTACGAAGATAAATTCCTCTCTACTTGTCTAGAAAGGAATATAATTACACCTTTTTTTCTCAAATAGAAGTGGTATTATCTCCATTCAAATAAAACAAGACAGAAAGAGAATGCTTGTATCTAATAAAATGTACACCTATTTTTTTTATAAACTGAAAAAGCAAACTTTAAAAGTTGAGAAATATGAAGCCTTAGGTTCACCAAAGCCTGAACAGCGTGCTTCCCTTTTCCTGGTAATTATAACTCTGATCAAGATTTGATTCAATTCAGAATTCACTGTTTTGGAATTTTAAAACTAATCCCCAATTTCTGAATTTCCAGGGAGGAAAAGTGTCCATTAATACTGGACAAAGAAAGATTGTTTGATGTTATTTAGATTTGAAGATTCTTGCTTATGTTAAGAAACAAAATGATTATTTTTTGAATGGAAAATACTACTATGACTGGGTTTTGGGGAGAGTTTTGGAGGGTAGAAAGGAGAATAGAACCAAGTTGAACAGAGATCTTTTTTTATGAATGAACTGAAAGCACATTAAAATACTACAAACTCTTGGAGTGAGAAACTAGATAAAACCGCCATTCCACTGGCCAGATTTTCCAGGTAACACCTGAGGAATGCACAGAAAATAGAAAAGTGAGCAGGAGCAGAAATGGGCATGCCAACCACTGGCATGCTGCCCTCCTTCCCCACCCTGTCAGAGCCTCTTGGCTTGGCAAGCTGGCAGGGGTCCAAAAGCCGCAGGTCATGCTTCCTAATGGAGAGGCAGATCTCAGTGCCTTGCAATGATACTGAGTGGCCAGGTAGGAAGGAAGCACACCCAGTTTGTGAATGAAATTCTTGAAGAATAATTGAGATTAAAATGGTATTCCTAATTATTTCCCTGTCTTTTCTAGATGCAGAGCTTTTTTGAAAGATATCCAGAAGCTGGAGCAGGAGAAAAACCTAGGGAACAAGTGGTGGAAACAGTGAAAAACAATATTGAGTGGCTAAAACAAAATAGAGAGACCATAAAAGAATGGTTTTTTAACTTATCAAATAACAGTTAATATGTTCAAATGTCATATTTTTTTAATTTGTGAAGTTGTTGTTTTTCCTATTAAGCATTTGATGGTCTAAATTTAGAAGCACTAAGGAGAGAGCCTTATGAATGGATACTGATTTTGCTAAGTACTGTGTTGACGTCTTGCAAAGCTTTTAAATTGTTCCTCTTTGTTTATGAAGGAAGATACTAATAGAGTATTTAATATACTCAGGGATTTCTTCTAAGTGTACTTCATAGGAGATTCTTTACAAACTGAAGAGAATTTAATAGTCATTTTAATGTCTTTAAATATCATTCTTTGTATCTTAAATCTGTGAAAATAGAACAATTTGGTCTTAGCTTTACATTTTTAGTACCAAAGAAACACCACTTAATCTTCTCTCTTGATTGATTTTTAAAGTTTAAATACCAGTACTTGAGGGACATATTACCATCTTAATCTTTATTTTATTATTCAGAGTTACACAGACCTAATATCATTTTATTCACATATGTCTTACTACTTTAAATCCTACCAAAGTAACCTGGGCTTAAGTTTTGCTCGAGGATTGCATGAATTAGCCAAAGAAATGGCTGAATGTTGCCATTGCTCTTATAAAATCAACAAGAGAACTCTTCTTTCTTTTTTAAAAATAAATCTAAATTATTACCTTGAAAAGAATATTGTTTTTTGATGTCATTTTACTCTTGAGTAAACATGTCAGCATCATTCCCCAAATAATTTTTCAAGTTGCAAATATGATTCAGGAACCTGCCTTTTTTCATGCTTGGTACTCTTCTTTCTCCATTCTTTACAAAGCTCCTTCAAATATGCTATGAAATTAGAGGGAACATAGTGCTTAACTGTGCTCCATGGATTTTAGAAGAAAAAAGCTAAATAATTGGAAACTGTTCAGGAAAGAGAAAAGGTGGATTATTCCATAAAACTAAATGGAATTAGAATTTAGCTTTGACCTCACCTAGCAATCTAAGTGTGAAAATGGGGAAACTCATGGACATCTCCAACATGACTCTGCATATCTGAGGATATATCTTCTTATAGTTAAGTTTTATATATAAATCCTTAGATCCTAATCCATACAGAATAGCACTGATCAAATTTATATGCATGACTTGATTAAAGACATCAATTTCATAGAAGCTGGTGGTCAGAATATGTTTAATGTGGCACTCGATGCCTAGTAGATCCACAATGTAAGTCCAATAGGCATTTATCTTTTGATAAATGTCTGTGTCCCAAAGTGCTATATCTAGCAAATCTAAATTTACTTGTAACCTTTGGAAGTATAGGGCAATTCAGGAATAGCTTGATAAAAATTGAAGCACAGGGATACAGTCAAAATCTTAGTAATTACTTTATTTACACAACAATATGCCCTAATCGTGTACTCCAAACTGTGAATTTTGCTACCACCGTTTCTTATCACTTCTCAATTCACACAGCTCAACTAGCAAATTCAAATGCAGACTGAAGACAAAAATGATACAAAATAAAACACTTCCAGCCAAATTTTTTATAAATATTATTGTAAATTAGTTCAGAATGAAAAACACATTAACCTTATAAATTGTCAAGAAAACCCAATAAACTCATGGGGATTAACATCCTAACTTCAAATTCTGGCCCCAATCAGAACCAGCACTTAAAGTCCATGTATTGTTTTTAAGGGACAAATAAAGAAGTAAGATGGTTCATCCTTCTGCTTTGTGAAATAAATAAAAATTTTAAATGAAAATATAAGTTTGAAGAAGATGGTAAATAAAACAGATTCCAACTTATCAAATAAATACATATACATATGTAAATGGAAATTCATTTAGTATACACACACACAGGATATTTATTGTGAGGAACTGGCTCATGTGATCATGGAGACAGACCAGTTACCATCAGCCATCTGCAAGGAGATCTGGGAAAGTCAGTGGTATAATTCAGCTTGACTCTGAAGGTCTGAGAACCAGAAGAGCTAATCCAAGTTCAAAGACAGGAAATGATGAGATGAGATGTCTCAGGTCAAGCAGTCAGGTAGAAAAGGGGAAGTAGAATATTCCTTTTCTTCCATCTTTTGTTCTATTCAGGATCCCAAGGCATTAGATAGACCACCACGTTGGAGAGGGCAATCTACTCTACCAAGGAAGTGATTCRAAGGCCAACTTCTTCTAAAAACTCCCTCACAGACAAACCAGAAATGAGACTTAATCTGGACACCCTGAAGTCCAATGAAATTGTCACATAAAATTAACAATCACAGTTGACCTTATGGTCTTCATTCATTCATTTAATCATTCATTCACATAACTGATATTTATAAAKTTTCAGTCATATAATAAATCCCATTTTATGTTCTGGTCATCTTAAATTAGAAATGGATGTAAAAGACACGTGGGAGGAAAATGAGTTGAAAGGATAATGGAGGAGGATGGGAGAAATAGGGCAGAGAATGTCAACTAACTGGCAATTCATGTTTTGTCCTGATATTCCACCTGGAGAGCCTTTAAATGTTAACATGGCTACATATATAGGCCAAATGTTGTGAACTAACAGCAATTTAGATTATGTGATTTAAAGGTGTGCTAGATATTGCCCGCTGGCAGGGGACAACATTTCTACATTCTTTATGTCCCATCCTTCTTTATTGCACAGCTGAAATGCCAAACACAGCACTCCCCACACTTCACATGTCTGAGGTCCCACCAATGATGTGAACTTTCATGAGATTTGGAAGGAAATTAGAGAAGAGGCAGAACCTGCCTTCTTTCCATGACAGTGCAGGGAAAGACAGTTGTGTGGGAAGGCATGAGTTGGCAGCCTTTGCACTCCATGTCCCTAGGTACCATCTCTGTGTAGCAAAGAAGTTCTGATATGACTCTCATAGCTTTCTCATTTCTGGGTGACTTTAGTAAGTTTTCAGTTTCTGGATCAGAAAGACAAGGATATRTCACCTTGGAACCAGCAGCTTGGCACTGACTCTCTTATTTCTATTTCTCTAGTCCTTTTTAAATATATATATATATATATTAATTTTTTTAGTTATAAGTGTACACAATATTTTCATTTTATTTTTATGTGGTGCTGAGGGTCTAACCTAGTGCCCCATGCATGCTTGGCAAGTGCTCTCTATCTTCACAGCCCCAGACCCCCTTAAGCCCTTTTAGTAGCATATAAGTTTCTCTCTCAAGAAAATCCTTCTATATTTGGAGACTATACTTAGAATATTTCTTGAACTGACCTCTGAATGATATAGAATGAAAATGCAGATTTTATTTTGTTTTGTATTTTCATTTAACTCAATGATCCTTTCCTGCCTATTGTCCCTAGTGTGTGTGTGTGTGTGTGTGTGTGTGTGTGTGTATATATGTATGTGTGTGTGTATATATATATATATATATATATATATATATATATATATATATATATATTTTTAAGCTGGCCAGGCATGGTGGTGCATTCCTGTAATCCCAGCAGCTCAGCGAAGCTGATGCAGTAGGATCATGAGTTCAAAGGCAGACTCAGCAATTCAGTGAGGCCCTAAGCAACTTAGTGAGACCCTGTCTCCAAATAAAATCTAGAAGAGGGCTGGTAAAGTGGCTTAGTGGTTAAGCTCCCCTCGTTTCAATCCCAAGTACCAAAAAAAAAAAAAAAAGCTTCAATCTGGGTCCTTTGCTTGGTGTGAATTAATGAAATGGACTGACTCAGAAAGTCCACTCTGGCTCTACTAATTGCCAGAATATAGGAAAAATTGTGATGGCCAGCACTTCAAATACGGGTTCCTCCCCATGGTAAAGGAAGGTGTTTCACTTTTGTTTATGATACATACGTATATTAGAAGGCACTACTGCAACTCCACTCCTAAGACTATATCCAAGGGAACTGAAAAACGATGACCACACAAGAACTTATACCTGAGTGTTCATGGAGACATTACTCATAAGAGTCAAAAAGTAGAAATAGCTCAAATGTCCATCAACTATTAAACTTGAAAATAAGCCATAAAGCACAATATTATTTGGCCCTAAAAAGGAATGATCCAATGACACATTTTAATATGGATGAGCCTTGACAGCATTATACTAAGTGAAAGAAGCTAATTACAATGGGCCACATTTCATATGATTCTGTTTCTGTGAAACGTCCTGACTAGGCACATCCACAGAGACAGAAAGGAGATAGGCGTTTGAAAGTCTGGGAAGGGAATAGGTGAGTGACTGCTGAAGCTTTTCTTGTGAGGTGATAAAAACGTTCTAGAATCAGACAATGGTAATGAACGTACAACTCTGAATGTACCAAAAACACTTATACACTTTAAAAGGGTGAATTTTATGGTATAAGAATTCTCTCTCAATAAAGCTATTATTTAAAAAGTTGCCTTTCCTCCCTTGGAGTTTCACTAAACTAAATTACAGAGGAGCAGCGGCTCCTGAGGAAGCCCTGTCTTCCCTGCAATGGACAGTGACAATTTTCCTTTTGCCAAGGTGTTTACAAAGTGTGTCTCTTTTTAAGACGGTTTCTACCTCCAGATTTGAGACTTTGCAAAAAGATTCTTATATTCTGATTCAAAGGTGAAACTAGTTCTTAACATTGCATTCTCCATTATCAGGATTTGAGTTGTTGTTGGCTTTCTTACTACCACGGGGAGAGAGGCTAAGTGGAAAGAGGCAAGCGAAGAAGGTTAGGAGAGTCCTGGCCACATTATTGAGCACCTAGATCTAGCTACTTCCATACTGCATAGACATCGCCTTGTTCTTGGAATCTAATGAGCCTATAAATCTCTACCTTTAAGGTATTTTAAATTCGGTTTCTCTTATTTTCAGTGAAAAGAGTCCCCCAGTGTAAGGTCCCATTATATTCTCTCAAGAAAATTTTATATTACTTGGGGGAGTATGTTATGAAAAAGAAATTGTTAAGGCTAATAGGGTTATTGGCAAGAAGGAAGAATGGAGGGAAGGAAAGAGGGAATAGAACAGAAAAATGATGAAATATGATATGTCAAGAGCTTTGTAATGTTTTGAACAACCAATAAAAAAAAAGAAAAGAAAAATGAGAGAGAAGAAAAGAATAAGGGAGTATTTTATTGAAAATGAAAGGAAGATAATAAATCATAATTTTCACCACATATCAGCATGTGAATAGGAAGGAATCTTTACATTTGTCTTGCAATAATTCATTTTCTAAAGGGAAAACCACAGGCAGATTTTTTTTTTCTCCATTGAAAACAGAAAAGTAATAGCCCCAGCCAGTGAGACCAAGGTTATATTTATTATCATTAAAACAAAGGCAATCAGTCCTTCAAATTCCAAACATTTACATTGTTATATGTAAAACAAATAAAAGAACTTCCCTCCCCCTCCCCCAATAAACAGAACAGTACAGAGGAGAGAAGATGTCAATACAGGAAGGAAAAAAWATAAAAACAAAGGAAGCAAGATAAAGTACATGGCCTAAAGGATACTGGATAGTTAATTTAGTCATGTCTCATATTAAATTATGCGTTTTAAAATGCCTAGGGAGCATTTTAATTATGACAGTTACCAATAAAAAATTGTTTTATAATATGTTGCTTTTCCATGAGAAGGAAAAAGGTTGTCAACTGCAAAGCCTC